ACCGCTTTATTGCAAACACCACCCCCCTGGTACCGCGACAAATTTTCATCAGTATGTTTTTTGTAAACCCGTCTAACAACCTAGCATAAAAAGCTTGAAAATTAGAAGCTTGCGTTTAATTTCTTACAAAAAATAATATTTTTTTCTCTGATGGAAACCACAACGCTCAAATACATACATTAACAAAACATTGAAACTAACAATTCAATTACCCAAGCATTATATTTATTTATTTCAATAAGTTACCAATTACACAGAACTGGGAAATGTGCCACTACATATGAAGAAAAAACTCTAGAGTGTGAACATAGATTATATATATATATATATATATATATATATATATATATATATATATACAAATGCAGGCCGAATAATACAAATATAATGATTAAGTGAATATATCGAGCAATTAACGTCATCCCAATTCACTGCTCGCCAATTTCATTATTCCGAACGATTCTTTTCTTGTAGAATGAATTAATCTTCACTAACACGACACAAACAACTCACATCCCACTTGTGTTGTGGCTGGATAACCTCATCGCGGTAAGTTTTTATATATATTTTAGCGAGACGAAGCTTAAAGTCAGGAAGACCTAACATACACTTATAAGGACTGATAACTTGAGTCTGTGAGTATCGAGCCCCGTATGACTCCATAAGATAGATGGGATACTGAGTCTGAAGGCAGTGAGACTGACTACCAGTTCGTGGATGGGTAGAAATCAAAAGCACCAATTGAATCCATCAGTGTTATTTTCAGCTGATATCCCTGTGAGTACTGCACTTTGGTTCCATGGACAGACTGATCCCAACAGCCTATTCTGATCGGACAGTCACGATCTTTTATATAAAAAGATACCGGTGTATCAGCATCTCCGACACCCCCAAAGTAGTCAGATTTTTACCAGCAAAAATTGATCTCTTCGTCTTGAACTAATGCCGATACAATAAGCATTCAAAAATTACAAATCTTCACTACAAATTGATTGACAGTTTAGAATAAGCAGCAATGGAAAGGCCTTTTAGAAAATGGCTATTTGGGAACCTCGAAAATACTGATGCACCAATATTAAATTAACAAAAAAAATTAGAAAAGTACTTATCATGTTATCCATAACTAGGTTATCCTCATGAAAGAAACAATAGATAATTGATACCGAGTCCTAATTATTTAGTTGCGATACGAATGATAGAGTCATATTTCACATATTATGCCTTCCGCACATGATGCGTCAATTGGGTCGGTTTGGTTGATATAGATTTATTAAGCATGCGACAAATTCCTCCCGAAGTAAATAAAAAAGTCTGCTCTAGATTTGAAACATCTAGTAGATGTTGTATTTTGTACTCAAGGAAAAAATCACGATATCTGTATTCAGTTGTAGATACTTAAGCCAAAAATAGGATGATACAAAGTAAGCAATAAAACAATACAGTGAAATGTGGCGCAAAGTGGATCTTATGTACAGTGTGTCATGCACAAGAGGCATGTCACCAAGACTTCTTATTTCGGTCTGCATATTCAAAGGGCTAAGAGGATCGTGAACGATCGCGTGTGGGTATGTGCAAACAAACTTGCTTCAGATCATTGTGAACATATTGGTCGAGGGCTTTTTCGACACGGTAAGTACATATGTATATGTTCATGTGTGGACTTGGAGACTAGGATTGGCGGTCACCAGGTTGACAGTGGTTGAATTTCAGTCGCATGAGGTCTGAGATTCAGACCAGGTGACGGACTACGTTTCTCGACCATGGGTCGACGAAACGGATGGAAACCCAACGGTGGGCAAGGAGAGAAAAAATGACGACGTGGACCATTTCGAGTGATTGAGCTAGGTAATCGAAGCTCAGTGTAACGGCGTTTTTTCCCGGGTTTACGAGTAGAAGAGCCTTCCAAATCTGGTATGGATACGGAATGCTTGACCGAGGTCTGACGGGTGGAGGGGAGAGAATAAACGTTGGATTAGGTATCAACGTGAATGACCAACGACTAACAGTTCATCATAAGAAAATATTGATTACAGCTAATGAGCTCTGTACATAGTAATAAATGAATCCATATTGTGCGAACGAAAAATTGCTTGAAAATCAGGTTTCAGGGCATATTTTATCGGTTTCATGGGCTAAGAGACCAACTTTATTTTCTTATCGCGTTTATCTGAAGACATAACTAAACACTAATAAGCTTCTATCTATGGTAGCAAAGTAACACATTCGATTCATTTCATTTTACATTTTATTCCTTGCTTTATTCCAAAGCTCGGGCTACTAAAAGGATCATATAACTGTGCGTATACGGATCCCGACGCTTGTAGCTAATGATGTTCAAGGTTTTTTCAGATATCTCTAAAGGATTAAGATAATTTTCCGTTATCAAAATCGTTCTGGTGAAACACATCATGGTGTAATTAACACAAAAGGTGAACCCTGGAGTCATAACGACCTGCTCTTCAGTTTTGTTAAAAGGCAACCTAAGTAGTCGGGCTTCATGCAACGCAGTGTATAAGATAGAAATGCTATAAAACCGAATGATGGTGAGGTCATCTGCTGCCATAGTTGGGTGGCGTGGGTGGGTCTCTGAACCAATCCGTCAAAGGTGGTGAGTTGAACCCCCTGACAATTATCATCAAAGCCACCAGATAATAACAAATCTGATCTCGAGAATGGAATAATGGTGAAACTCTGATCAAAACCGGTTCATCGTTGCTTATGGAAGACTAATACTAATAGTGAATATTGCCCGGAATAGTGCATTCTATCGAAAATTGAAACGATTATTATAACAATAAAAACCCGTAGCTAAGCGTTATTTTGACAGTTTAAAGCGTAAAAAGATGAAATAGCTATTCAAATGCGATGGAAATGTTTGTGATGACCGACAAAGAGCACTGGATAGCTGTTTCGTCCTGTTTGGGATTCTTCAGCAGTGCGCACTTTTCGTGTCCCTGTCAGGACTCGAATAGCGCTTCTTCGGGCTGGGACTTCAAACCCTTACCCCTGAGCTACATGGTCGACGGTCATCACCTTGTGCGAGTGGCTCGATCAATTTAGACGGTGAATGTTTGGATTATCCCATTCGGTTTTCCACAGACACTAGGCACTGTTGATGATCTTGTGTGTGGGATTCACTCCTCGGGAGATCGTTAATTCCCCACGAGGCTAATGCATTTAAATGCGATGGAAATGTTTGTGATGACCGACAAAGAGCACTGGACAGCTGTTTCGTCCTAGTCGGGACTCATCAGCAGTGCATACCTTTTGTGTCCCTGTCAGGACTCGAACCGGTGTCTGTGAAAAATCAAATGGGCTAATCCAAACATTCATCGTCTAAAGTGAAATAGCTATGTTTATCACACTTCAACATTACTTGATATCGTTCAAATTTTCCCAAATGAAATCTGCGGCTGAATTGCAAACCAATTCTGGGGCTAAGTTAAAATATTGAAACTTGACGATGGAAATCTCATCAACATGATGTCGTTTTCATTTATAACAACCCTGAAACATCTTTTTATCGGTGCTTCTACATTTCGGATGTCAGTTTTGCATCACACGTTTGCGCGCGCACATTGCTTCCCTTTCAAGCTGCAGATTTACTCAGAAAAAGGAAAACCAACAAAACGCAACAAAAATTCAGTAACTGTAGATGCTTAAGTAAATTTATAAAACTCACGCGAACTGGGCTATTTAAAAAAAAGAAACAGAAATACACAAAGAAATGACGTTTTGGAAACGGTCTTAACCATTTAACTGAGTCAGTGATTTGAGCTAACTTGGTCCCATAAAAAGTGATGAGTAAAACCAGAGATCGATAATTACATTCTGTTGCCGCTTAAGAAAATTACAATAGCCGGTCTTGATCTATGGGAGATACCCGTCGTACTCTGCCATATAAGGTCTTTGTTCATATAACCAACCTGCAATTGTACAATCACACAAACCCCGAGTGCAGATATTATTTTTGAAGGTAAACATGATTGAATTCTCCGAGGTACCCAAAAAGAGACAAGGTAAAGTATTATTTTTTTATTAGTGCAAGATACTTGAGACATGTTTTAAAGGAATTAGGATAATGAACAACACACTAACTATATTGCATAATGTTGAATCTTGGTGTTGTGATAGGAGGAAATTCAGGGTCCTCTGTGTTTATATGTCGGTGCAATTGGGGATCAAATAACTGATAGTAACTAAAACATTCGTAGATCCGCCATCCACAGTGATAACGATTGCAATTGTCTGAGAAACCCTAAAAAGTAGGAAGTCGTGATCGTAGAATCACCTCACTTGGCCCACAGCGCGTCGGTTCTTTGGGGGTGGAGGCCAGCTTACGCACCCTACCACAGCGGGTCAAGTAAACTGTCGGTAACACGGTCAATATCATAAGTGTTCTACCAACACCTAAATCAGTTCAAAGTTCAAATGACTCAGGGTATAGCGAATACTGCGTAATGGATGATACCATACCTTGGAAATCGTATGACTGTTTTCTCCACTACGTCCCTGATAAAAGCCCTGCAAACACATTTCTCAAGTAGCAAATAAAATTGAACTGAGTTGATACGAATGTGAAATAATATGCAACCGGACTCCCGGTTCGCCAAAAGCCATTGTGTTTCTTCCGTTAACACTGACCCGGAATGACTTACTGCTGAAAGTTGAAAGTTGAACTAAAAGTTCATCTTC